GCGCTCCGACCTCGTCCCCGCCCTGGTCTTTTCGAGTGGAGACCACGCACTTGGGATCCCGTATTGTGTGAGGATAAGCACTCCGGCCTTGTCCCCGCCTCGGTCCTCTTGGAGTGGAGACCACAGACCTGGGACCCCATATTAGTTGAGGATAAGCGCTCCGACCTTGTCCCGGCCTTCGTCCTTTTGGAGTGGAGACCACGCACCTGGAACCCCCATAGTATTGCTTGAGGTTAAGCGCCGGCCTCGTCCCTGCTCCGGTCCTCTTGGAGTGGAGACCACGCACCTGGAACCCCATATTGCTTGAGGATATGCGCTCTGATGTTGTCCCCACTTACGTCCTCTTGGAGTGAAGACCACGCACCTGGGACCCCATATGGGTTGAGGATAAGCGCTTCGGCCTTGTCCCCGCCTCAGTCTTCTTCGAGTGGAGACCACGCACCTGGGGCTCCATATAGTGGGCGAGGATAAGCGCTCCGGCCTCGTCCCCGCCTCCGCCTTCTTCAAGTTGGAAGTGCACACCTGGGACTCCATATTGGGTGCGGATAAGCGCTTCGGTCTCGTCCCGGCCTCTGTCCTCTTGGAGTGGAGGCTATACACCTGGGACATGGTGGGAAACGGTATAGCAGCACCCTAACACGCTGCACGAATTCAGTATAAGCCAACTGGCCGGGTTGGCGGACCTTCCAGCCTTCTCTCTTTGCCGGCCTTCCGTGCGTTCCACTAAGCGTGTACTATGTTACTATGGAGATAATGGGACTACAGCGGCTTGGAACCGAGTAAAGCTCGGATTTTCCGATCATTTCACTGTATTTCGATGAGTGAAACGACATACTTCAGCCGAGCCTTTTCCGGCGAATGGCTTCTACCACCATTGCCAGAGCCGCGGTTGTACGTTCGGACAGGCGCTTTGCTGCCGCATGCCTCCGCTCCCAGATCTCATCTTGTTTTCGTCTTCTGAGCCTTGCCTTTTGCTTTCGTTCGACAGTCTGCAAGTTGTTGAGGCATAGTCGGATATCTTTCTTGACGTATTTATTCAGCCCCGTGAACGCATCGGCGGGGAAGCATCGCAGGCGCCGTGCGAAGTCAAGATCGCTCGCCAGTTTCTTGGCGATCCTTGGGTATTTGACCAGGCATCCTAGTAGCGACAGGCATGGTAACTTCAGGGCCCAATCTGATTTCGAGGTGTACTCCTGGATCAGCCCCCTCAGGTACGCGGACAACCGCTGCCACTTCTGTGCACTTGTGCAGGTACAGGTAAGACAAGCCAGCAGAGTTGGCTTATCCATGAGGAGAAATTGACTGAAGACTGGGGTTTCAGCTTGAACCTTGCAGCTGCGCAGAACAGATGCATGGCCTGCTTTCAACTTGTGCCCCAGTTCGGGCAGGCATTCCACAGACATTCCAATGAGCCTGCTTGTACTTCATGGACTCTTCCCGGTGGAGACCACATACCTGGGACCCTATATTGGTTGAGGATGCTCGCCCCGGCCTTGTCCCCGCCTCAGTCCTCTTCGAGTGGAGACCACGCACCTGGGACCCCATATTGGTCGAGGATTATAAGTACTCCGGCCTCGTCCCCGCCTAGGTCTTCTTCGAGTGGAGTCCCCGCTTCCATCCTTTTTCGAGTTGAGACCACGCACCTTGAACCCCACATTAGTTGAGGATAAGCGTGTGAGTCGAGGATGAGCCCTCCAGCCTAGTCCCGGACTGGGACCCCATATTGGTTGAGGATAAGCCCTCCGTCCTCGTCCCTGGCTTGCGTTCCTCAGGTTAAGACCGCACACCTCGGACCTCACATTGGTTGAGGATAAGCGCTCCGGCCTCGTCCCCGCCTCCGCTTTCCCTGAACCCCCATATTGGTTGAGGACAAGCACTCCGGCCTCGTCCGTGCCTTCGCCGTCTACTCAGCTTAAAACCGTGCACCTGAAACCCCATCTTGGTTGAGGATAAGCGCTCCGGCCTCGTCCCCGCCTTCGCCTTCTCACGCACCCAAGACCCCATGTGGGTCGAGGATGAGCCCTCCAGCCTCGTCCCGGACTGGGACCCCATATTGGTTGAGGATAAACCCTCCGTCCTCGTCCCTGGCTTGCGTTCCTCAGGTTAAGACCGCACACCTCGGACCTCACATTGGTTGAGGATAAGCGCTCCGGCCTCGTCCCTGCCTCCACTTTCCCTGAAACCCCATATTGGTTGAGGACAAGCACTCCGGCCTTGTCCGTGCCTTCGCCGTCTACTCAGCATAAAACCGTGCACCTGAAACCCCATCTTGGTTGAGGATAAGCGCTCCGGCCTCGTCCCCGCCTCCGCTTTCCCTGAAACCCCATATTGGTTGAGGACAAGCACTCCGGCCTCGTCCGTGCCTTCGCCGTCTACTCAGCTTAAGACCGTGCACCTGAAACCCCATCTTGGTTGAGGATAAGCGCTCCGGCCTCGTCCCTGCCTCCGCTTTCCCTGAACCCCCATATTGGTTGAGGACAAGCACTCCGGCCTCGTCCGTGCCTTCGCCGTCTTCTCAGCTTAAAACCGTGCACCTGAAACCCCATCTTGGTTGAGGATAAGCGCTCCGGCCTCGTCCCCGCCTCCGCCGTCTTCCTCGGCTTGAGACCATGCACCCGAGACTTAAGCGCTCCGGCTTCGTCCCCGCCTGTGCCGTCTTCTCAGCTTCAGACCAATTACCTGAAACCCCATCTTGGTTGAGGATAAGCGCTCTGGCTTCGTCCCCGCCTCCGCCTTCCCTGAAACCCCATATTGGTTGAGGACAAGTGCTCCGGCCTCGTCCCCGCCTCCGCCGTCTTCCTCGGCTTGAGACCATGCACCCGAGCCTTAAGCGCTCCGGCTTCGTCCCCGCCTGTGCCGTCTTCTCAGCTTCAGACCAAGCACCTGAAACCCCATCTTGGTTGAGGATAAGCGCTCTGGCTTCGTCCCCGCCTCCGCCGTCTTCTCCGCTTAAAACCGTGTACCTGACAACCCATCTTGGTTGAGGATAAGCGCTCCGGCCTCGTCCCTACCTCCGCCGTCTTCTCAGCTTCAGACCAAGCACCTGAAACCCCATCTAGGTTGAGGATAAGCGCTCCGGCTTCGTCCCCGCCTCCGCCGTCTTCTCAGTTTCAGACCAAGCACCTAAAACCCCATCTTGGTTGAGGATAAGCGCTCCGGCTTCGTCTCGGCCTCCGGCGTCTTCTCAGCTTCAGATCAAGCACCTGAAACCCCATCTTGGTTGAGGATAAGCTCTCCGGCTTCGTCCCCGCCTCCGCCTTCTTCGGGTGGAGACCACGCACCTGGGAGCCCATATTGGTTGAGGACAAGGCTTCCCGGCTTCGTCCCTGCCTCCGCCTTCTTCGGGTTGAGACCACACACCTGAGAGCCCATGTTGGTTGAGGATAATTTCTCCGGCCTCGTGGAGCCCATATTGGTTGAGGATAAGCGCTCCGGCCTCGTCCCCGCCTCGGCCGTTTTCTCAGCTTAAAACCATGCACCTGAAACCCCATCTTGGTTGAGGATAAGTGCTCCGGCCTCGTCCCAGCCTCCGCCGTCTTCTCGGCTTGAGACTACACACCTGACACCCCATCTTGGTTGAGGATAAGTGCTCCGGCCTCGTCCCCGCCTCCGCCGTCTCCTGCTTGAGAACCTGAAGCTCCATCTTGGTTGAGGATAAGTGCTCCGGCCTCGTCCTCGCCTCCGCCGTGTTCTGCTTGAGATCCCACGCCTCGGAACCCCTTATTGGTTGGGGTTACGCCCTCCCGGCCGTGTCCTTGCATCCATCTCGTTCAGCTTGAGCTCTCACGCCTTGCAACCTTATATTGGTTGAGGATAAGCCCTCCCGGCCTTGTCCTCGCCTCCGTCTTCTTCAGCCTGAGCTTCCAGATCTCGGAACCCCATATTGGTCGAGGATAAGCCCTCCCGGCCGTGTCCTTGCTTCTGTCTTCTTCAGGCAAGCCTCGCAATCCCATCGTGCTTGCAGATAATGTCACCGGACACTGACGTAAGACGATCTATTTATTCTCGCAACTCACCTTTCTTCCCGTGTTATTGCTGTGTCACGTGTGAAACAATGTCCTTCAGCTAGGTGTCCTACGGCGAATGTGTTCTCTGATCATTATCAGAGCTTCGGCCGCGCGCTCGACCACAATCTTTGTTGCTTCGAATTTCCGTCTCAGGAGTTCCTCCTGCTTCTGCTTCCGGAGCTCTGTCCTCTCCTTCTGCTTCTTCTTCTTCTCGAAAGCCCGAAGGTTCGCGATGCAGAGACGGATGGTCTTCTTGGTGTTTCTCGGAAGCCCTTGTAGATCCTGGACTGAAAAGTATTGGAGTCGCCGGCCAAAGTCGAAGTCGTCTGTGGCTCTCGAAGCCAGCATCGGGTACCTGGAGAGTGCACCGATCAGCGCTAGGTGTCCTAGCCTCAGTGCCCAATCCGAGCGTCTCGTGAACTGCGAAATGGCCAGCTTCAGGTTGTGGGGTAGACGTGTCCATTTCTTTTCTGCCGTCCGGCAAGTGCAGTTTAAGGCGCTGAAAAGTACCGGTGTATCCATCGCGTCGAGCTGTCGTGAACTACTGGTTTCTATCGCACGCCTGAGCCCCAGTTGCAGCTGTGCCACAGGCTCGCTTGCCTCCCTTTCAAAGCCACCGGTCCATGATCCGACTAGTCTGGAACATGCGTGCATAGCTGACTGTGCGATCTCTTCATCACGACGACTTGTGAAGTGTACGCCTATCCCGGCCTTGTCTTTGTGAATTTGAGGCCTCGCGCTTGGGAACATGCACCTGGGACCGCATATTCTTTGAGGATACGCCCTCCAGTCTCGTCCCGGCCTCGTTCTTCTTGAGGTTGAAGTCTCGTGCTTGGGAGCATGCACCTGGGACACCATATTGGTTGAGGACAAGCGCTCCGGCCTCGTACCCGCCTCCGCCGTCTTCTCAGCTTAAAACCATGCACCCGACACCCCATCTTGGTTGAGGATAAGCGCTCCGGCCTCGTCCCTACCTCCGCCGTCTTCTCAGCTTCAGACCAAGCACCTGAAACCCCATCTTGGTTGAGGATAAGTGCTCCGGCCTCGTCCCCGCCTCCGCCGTCTTCTCAGCTTAAAACCACGCACCTGAGACCCCATATTGGTTGAGGACAAGTGCTCCGGCCTCGTCCCCGCCTCCGCCGTCTTCTCAGCTTCAGACCATGCACCTGACACCCCATCTTGGTTGAGGATAAGCGCTCCGGCCTCGTCCCCGCCTCCGCCGTCTTCGGCTTGAGACCACGCACCTGAGACACCATCTTGGTTGAGGATAAGCGCTCCGGCCTCGTCCCCGCCTCCGCCGTCTTCTCAGCTTCAGACCAAGAACCTGAGACCCCATATTGGTTGAGGATAAGTGCTCCGGCCTCGTCCCCGCCTCCGCCGTCTTCTCAGCTTCAGACCAAGCACCTGAAACCCCATCTTGGTTGAGGATAAGCGCTCCGGCCTCGTCCCTACCTCCGCCGTCTTCTCAGCTTCAGACCAAGCACCTGACATCCCATCTTGGTTGAGGATAAGCGCTCCGGCCTCGTCCCCGCCTTCGCCTTCTTCGGCTTGAGACCACGCACCTGAGACCCCATCTTGGTTGATGATAAGCGCTCCGGCCTCGTCCCCGCCTCCGCCGTCTTCGGCTTGAGACCACGCACCTGAGACACCATCTTGGTTGATGATAAGCGCTCCGGCCTCGTCCCCGCCTCCGCCGTCTTCTCAGCTTCAAACCATGCACCTGACACCCCAACTTGGTTGATGATAAGCGCTCCGGCCTCCGCCGTCTTCTCAGCTTCAGACCAAGCACCTGAAACCCCATCTTGGTTGAGGATAAGCGCTCCGGCCTCGTCCCCGCCTTCGCCTTCTTCGGCTTCTGGGCTGCTGATCTCGAATCCCACAGTGGTTGAGGATAAACGTTCCAGCCTCGTTCCGGCGGCCTTCTTCGGGCTGGGACCGCGGACCCCGAGCCCCATAGCGCTCTGGCCTTGCTTCCGGAGTACCTGCGACGCCGTATTGGTTGAGGATAGGCGAATCTCTCGGCATGCGAGCCTTCGGGACTCGTCCGTGTCTCCGCCTCCAACGTTGTTCCCGCTGAGACTGAGCACCTGTATGCCCGACTGCGACATGATGGAGGAGCGCGGCCGCATGTGATGCACCAGGCCCTCCTTGCACCTTTTTGCCTCGCCTAGGTGAGTGAAGCTCGAGCCGTTCAGCGCATTGCGCAGTCTAAAACTACTCTGGTGACACTAAAACGTTCTCTCTCGCCGCGAGCCGCCGTCCACTCCACCAGATCGTTCTTGAAGAAGAAGATTGTATGAGCACGTCCCAGCCGTCGTCGAGGAGCTGGAATGCCGTCTTGGCGTCTGCTGGCAAACGCGAACAACGGTCCGGTGCAACCGGTTCCTGCCGGATGCAGCAGGCCCTCTTCCTCGCCGCCGTCCTCGTAGGTGAGGTAGAGTTCCATCGTGCCCTCATGCTGCTTGGCACTCCGTGCGCAGAGAAGCTTCATCGGTTCGTCGCGCCTCCAGACTCGGAAGTGGATTTCCGTATAGCCTGAGCGAAGGAACTCACGGGCGTCGAGGAGGGCTTGTCGAAGTAGGTTCACGTCGCTGTACTGGACGCGATCCTCTGGCAGCTCCACGTCGTCGCTGACGATGTATCGCCCTGAAGACTGCTCTGACAACATGGCGGGGTCCTGTTGGACACTGCGCAGGTCTCGGCGAGCCTTGTCGCTCTTGGGCAAGTTCTCTTGGGCAACAGCTTCGCGTGTCGACACACATAGCTCTTTGCACAACCAGGCCCCTGAGACTGCGATTGGTTGGGGATAAACCCTCTGGCCTTGGCCCGAGTCTCGTTTCCTTCGGGTTGAGACCGCGCACCTGGGACTACGCACTTCTTCAGTTTGAGCTTCCGCACCTCGGAACCCCATATTGGTTGAGGATAAGCGCTCCCGGCCTCGTCCCTACCTCCGCCGTCTTCTCAGCTTCAGACCAAGCACCTGACACCCCATCTTGGTTGAGGATAAGCGCTCCGGCCTCGTCCCCGCCTTCGCCTTCTTCGGCTTGAGACCACGCACCTGAGACCCCATCTTGGTTGATGATAAGCGCTCCGGCCTCGTCCCCGCCTCCGCCGTCTTCGGCTTGAGACCACGCACCTGAGACCCCATCTTGGTTGATGATAAGCGCTCCGGCCTCGTCCCCGCCTCCGCCGTCTTCTCAGCTTCAAACCATGCACCTGACAGCCCATCTTGGTTGATGATAAGCGCTCCGGCCTCCGCCGTCTTCTCAGCTTCAGACCAAGCACCTGAAACCCCATCTTGGTTGAGGATAAGCGCTCCGGCCTCGTCCCCGCCTTCGCCTTCTTCGGCTTCTGGGCTGCTGATCTCGAATCCCACAGTGGTTGAGGATAAACGTTCCAGCCTCGTTCCGGCGGCCTTCTTCGGGCTGGGACCGCGGACCCCGAGCCCCATAGCGCTCTGGCCTTGCTCCCGGAGTACCTGCGACGCCGTATTGGTTGAGGATAGGCGAATCTCTCGGCATGCGAGCCTTCGGGACTCGTCCGTGTCTCCGCCTCCAACGTTGTTCCCGCTGAGACTGAGCACCTGTATGCCCGACTGCGACATGATGGAGGAGCGCGTCCTTGCCTGTGACTTCTTCGGCGAGCTTCCACACCTCGGAAACCCATATTGGTTGAGGATAAGCCCCTCGAAACCTATATTGGCTGAGGATAAGCTTTCCCGGCTTCGTCCTTGCCTCCGTCTTCTTCGGCTTGAGCTTCCACACCTCGGAAACCCATATTGGTTGAGGATAAGCCCTCCCGGCCTCGCCCTTGCCTCCGTTTTCTTTGGCTTGAGCTTCCACACCTCGGAAACCCTTATTGGATGAGGATAAGCCCTCCCGGCCTCGTCCTTGTCTACGTCTTCTTCAGCTTGAGCTTCCACACCTCGGAAACCCATATTGGTTGAGGATAAGCCCTCCCGGCCTCGCCCTTGCCTCCGCTCGGAAACCCATATTGGTTGAGGATAAGCCCTCCCGGCCTCGTCCTTGCCTCCGTCTTCTTCTGTTTGAGCTTCCACACCTCGGAAACCCATATTGGTTGAGGATAAGCCCCTCGGGCTCGCCCTCGCCTCCGTCTTCTTCGGCTTGAGCTTCCACACCTCGGAAACCCTTATTGGTTGAGGATAAGCCCTCCCGGCCTCGTCCTTGCCTCCGTCTTCTTCGGCTTGAGCTTCCACACCTCGGAAACCCATCCGTCTTCTTCGGGCTGAGATCACGCACCTCGGACCCCATCTTTGTTGAGGATAAGCGCTTTGGCCTCGTCCCCGCCTCCTCCTTCTCCGGGATGAGACTTCACACCTGGGACCCCATGTTGGTTGAGGAGACGTGCTGCGGTCTCCCCGCCGCCGTCTTCTTCGGGCTGAGATCACGCACCTCGGACCCTTTTTTTGTTGAGGATAAGCGCTCCGGCCTCGTCCCCGCCTTCGCCTTCTTCGGGTTGGGACCCCATATTGGTTGAGGATAAGCCCTCCGACCTCGTCCCCTCCGCTTTCTTCAGGTTGAGACCACGCACCTGGGACGTTGAGGAAAAGCGTGCTGGATCGGTTGAGGATAAGCGTTCCGGCCTCTTCCCCGCCTCCGCCTTCTCCGGATTCTTCAGGTTGAGACCACGCACCTGGGACGTTGAGGAAAAGCGTGCTGGATCGGTTGAGGATAAGCGTTCCGGCCTCTTCCCCGCCTCCGCCTTCTCCGGATTGGGACCCCGTAGTTCCTGCCTCCACTTTCTTCGGGCTGTGAGATGTCACACTTGGAACCCCATATTGGTTGAGGGTAAGCGCTCCGGCCTCGTCCCCGCCTCCAGTTTCTTCGGGCTGTGAGACGTCACACCTGGAACCCCATATTGGTTGAGGGTAAGCGCTCCGGCCTCGTCCTCGCCTCCAGTTTCTTCGGGCTGCGAGACGTCACATCTGGAACCCCATATTGGTTGAGGGTAACCGCTCTGGCCTCGTCCCCGCCTCTGCTTTCTTCGGGTTGGGACCCCATATTGGCTGAGGATAAGCGCTCCGGCTTCGTCCCCGCCTCCGCCGTCTTCTCAGCTTCAGACCACGCACCTGAAATCCCATCTTGGTTGAGGATAAGCCCTCCGGCCTCGTCACCACAGGAGACTGAGCGCCGGGATCACCGCGGACCATTAAATCTAGAGATGCTTTCTTCAGACTGAGCTCCCACGCTTCGGAATCCCATACTGATTGAGGATAAGCCCTCCCGGCCTTGTCCTTGGCTCCGTCTTCGAAAGAATGAGAACCCTCACTTGGGGCCACGCAGCCGAGACCCCATGTGGTTCGAGGATGAGTCCTCCAGCCTCGTCCCGGACTGAGACCCTATATTGGTGGAGGATAAGCCCTCCATCTTGGTCCCTGGCTTGCGTTCCTCAGGTTAAGACCACACGCCTCGGACCCCACGTTGGTTGAGGATAAGCGCTCCGGCCTCGTTCCCGCCTCCGCTTTCCCTGAAACCCCATATTGGTTGAGGACAAGCTCTCCGGCCTCGTCCGCGCCTCCGCCGTTTTCTCAGCTTAAAACCGTGCACCTGAAACTCCATCTTGGTTGAGGATAAACGCTCCGGTCTCGTCCCCGCCTCCGCCTTCTTCGGGCTGTGAGACCACGCACCTGCGAGCCCATATTGGTTGAGGATACCCCGCCTCCCCCTTCTTCGGGCTGCCAGACCACGCACCTGGGACACCATAGTGGTTGAGGATAAGCGCTCCGGCCCGGTCCCTGCCTCCGCCTTCTTCGGGCTGTCTGAACACGCACCTAGGACCCCATATTGGTTGAGGATAAGCGCTTTGGCCTCGTCCCCGCCTCCTCCTTCTCCGGGATGAGACTTCACACCTGGGCCCCCATGTTGGTTGAGGAGAAGTGCTGCGGTCTCCCCGCCTCCGTCTTCTTCGGGCTGAGATCACGCACCTCGGACCCCAGATTTGTTGAGGGGCTAAAAATCGCTTTGGCTCGCCCCTCCTCCTCCTTCTCCGAGATTAGACTTCATCGACCTGGGACCCCATTTTGGTTGAGGAGAAGTGCTCCGCCCTCGTCCCAGCTCCGCCGTCTTCTCGCTTGAGCCTACACACCTGACCACCCTCTGGTTGAGGATAAGCGCTCCGGCCTCGTCCCCGCCTCGGCCGTTTTCTCAGCTTAAGACCATGCACCTGAAACCCCATCTTGGTTGAGGATAAGTGCTCCGGCCTCGTCCCGGCCTCCGCCGTCTTCTCGGCTTGAGACTACACACCTGACACCCCATCTTGGTTGAGGATAAGTGCTCCGGCCTCGTCCCCGCCTCCGCCGTCTCCTGCTTGAGAACCTGAAGCTCCATCTTGGTTGAGGATAAGTGCTCCGGCCTCGTCCTCGCCTCCGCCGTGTTCTGCTTGAGATCCCACGCCTCGGAACCCCTTATTGGTTGGGGTTACGCCCTCCCGGCCGTGTCCTTGCATCCATCTCGTTCAGCTTGAGCTCTCACTCCTTGCAACCTTATATTGGTTGAGGATAAGCCCTCCCGGCCTTGTCCTCGCCTCCGTCTTCTTCAGCCTGAGCTTCCAGATCTCGGAACCCCATATTGGTCGAGGATAAGCCCTCCCGGCCGTGTCCTTGCTTCTGTCTTCTTCAGGCAAGCCTCGCAATCCCATCGTGCTTGCAGATAATGTCACCGGACACTGACGTAAGACGATCTATGTATTCTCGCAACTCACCTTTCTTCCCGTGCTATTGCTGTGTCACGTGTGAAACAATGCTCTTCAGCTAGGTGTCGTACGGCGAATATGTTCTCTGATCATTATCAGAGCTTCAGCCGCGCGCTCGACCACAATCTTTGTTGCTTCACGCTTCCGTTTCAGGAGTTCCTCCTGCTTCTGCTTCCGGAGCTCTGTCTTCTCCTTCTGCCTCTTCTTCTTCTCGAAAGCCCGAAGGTTCATGATGCAGAGACGGATGGCCTTCTTGGTGTTTCTCGGAAGCCCTTGTAGATCTTGGACTGAAAGGCATTGGAGTCGCCGGCCAAAGTCGAAGTCGTCTGTGGCTCTCGAAGCCAGCATCGGGTATCTGGAGAGTGCACCAATCAGCGCTAAGTGCCTTAGCCTCAGTGCCCAATCCGAGCGTCTCGTGAAGTTTGAAATGGCCAGCTTCACGTTGTGGGGTAGACGTGTCCATCTCTTTGCCGCTGTCCAGCAAGTGCAGATTAAGGCACTGAAGAGTACCGCTGTATCCATCGCGTCGAGTTGTCGTGTACTACTGGTTTATACCGCACGCCTGAGCCCCAGTTGCAGCTGTGCCACAGGTTCGCTTGCCTCCCTTTCAAAGCCACCGGTCCATGATCCGACTAGTCTAGAACATGTGCGCATAGCTGACTGTGCGATCCCTTCATCACGACGACTTATGAAGTGTACGCCTGTCCAGGCCTTGTGATTGTGAATTTGAGGCCTCGCGCTTGGGAACATGCACCTGGGACCGCATATTCTTTGAGGATACGCCCTCCAGTCTCGTCCCGGCCTCGTTCTTCTTGAGGTTGAAGTCTCGTGCTTGGGAGCATGCACCTGGGACACCATATTGGTTGAGGACAAGCGCTCCGGCCTCGTCCCCGCCTCCGCCGTCTTCTCAGCTTAAAACCATGCACCCGACACCCCATCTTAGTTGAGGATAAGCGCTCCGGCCTCGTCCCTACCTCCGCCGTCTTCTCAGCTTCAGACCAAGCACCTGAAACCCCATCTTGGTTGAGGATAAGTGCTCCGGCCTCGTCCCCGCCTCCGCCGTCTTCTCAG